GAAAGGGTGCTAGCAAAATTTGAGGACGATGAGATTAAAATCGCTTGATTTTTAATAAAAATATATTTTTGGGATAGTGAAATACCATTTTGTTTATCATTTTTTTTCAAGAATTCAATGATAACATTTGATTCAACATAATCACTAATCAACAACAACATAAAAAGAGTTCGGCGATTTTATTTTCTCCTTTGGTAATTTAGGCGTTTTGTTTTTTTAAATGCTTTATAAACAAGTTTAAATGAGTAAAAAATCGATATCAACTTTGAAAAATCGATTCTGTCAAACATCGAACAGAAAAAGATCGGATGAAAAAAAATCGATTTTTCGAGGCAAAAAAATCGATTCTGTAAAAATCGCATCGACATCGCCCATTCCTAAGTGCAGCATATGTTTGAAACGATGGGTGATGATCCTCTGGTGAGGTTAATGCTTATATCAGCATGATATAACCGAATACAAATATCTTAATTTTCGGTTCGTTAATCGCTACAAATGGTGAGTCGACAAACTGGAAGGAGTGTTGTCCCAACAGCTCTGGTCCTCACAAGTTCCTACCTCACGCTTCCACGGGTCAGCCGATGACAAAGACCGCCAGCAAAAGATGCTGGTAGCGTAGCCTGGGCAATGTCACCACGATAAAAACATGGATCCGGATCGTGGTGATAGCAAAGTGAGGAGGTGCGCCCCTCGAGCGTCTGTTCACCATGGAGGTGCGGCTCAAACAGCGTCTGTCTCGGAGCGAGCGGCTGAATAAGAAATGCTGTATCACGTCAGCTACACCTAAGGTGGCAGCCCCACCAACATGATGTAGGTATCGCGACCCCGGTAAGGTAGCATACTGAAACCCCCAACATTACTCAGAAAAACGAAGAAAGAGAAAACAACGAACGGAATTTTCGGCAACCGACCCGGCAACGAAATAAGGACAATGAATGGAAACTCGGTACTTGGAATGTCAGAACCTTAAATGAACCTGGACGAGCGGGCCTTTTGGCTCGTGAACTGCAAAAAGTGAATGTGAGCGTAGCTGCTATTCAGGAAGTACGGTGGCCTAGATCCGGAGAACGTGAATTCCGGGCGGTGGATCCCATCGCCAACACTTCCTTCAAGTATCATATCTATCACAGCGGTGGCGATAGGGCAGAACATGGAGTAGGGTTCATAGTGATCGGGAAGCAGATGAAGCGTGTTATGCGGTGGAGACCGGTAAGCGACCGCATCTGTGTATTAAGGATTCGGGGCAAATTCTTCAACTACAGCCTGATCAACATCTATGCGCCAACCAACGATAAATCCGATGACGTGAAGGACGCGTTTTATGACAGTCTCGATAAAACTTATGATGAGTGCCCAAAACACGACGTGAAGATTGTAATCGGAGATGCAAATGCGCAGGTCGGGAGGGAAGATTTCTTTCGTCCAATCATTGGTACAGAGAGCCTACATACAGTAACCAATGATAACGGCCTGAAACTGATAAACTTCGCCGCTGCTAGAGGTATGGCCATCAGTAGCACCTACTTTGCACGCAAGAATATCCGAAAGCACACCTGGAGACACCCAAATGGCGAAACTTGCACCCAGATCGATCACATGTTGGTGGATGGCCGGCACTTCTCAGATGTCATTGATGTAAGGACTTTTAGGGGGCCTAACATTGACTCAGATCATTATCTTGTTGTCTGCAAAATTCGGGCGCGTCTATCGACCGTTACGAATTCAACGAACCGGAGATCGATGCGTTTCAATATCCATCGCTTGTCAGTAGAAGGTGTTGCTGCAGAGTACCGCCAGAAGCTTGATGAGCGGATTAGCGAAATCAACGTGAACGAGGACCTCAACAATCTGTGGAACACAATCCACGGAGCGGTGAACACAACAGCACAAGAAGTGATAGGTACAGCTCAAAGACGACCACGTAATGGCTGGTTTGATGAGGAGTGCCAGAGGTTGACGGATGAGAAGAACGTTGCCAGAAGCCGGATGTTAGTGTCTGGTACCCGGCTGAACAGAGAGCGGTACAAGGTAGCAAGGGCAGCTGAGAAACGAACCCACCGCAGAAAGAAAAGGCAATACGAAGAACGCGTGATTGCTGAGGCGCAAGAAAGTATGGAACAGAACGATATGCGAAGGTTCTACGCGACTGTCAATGGTGTGCGGAGTAAAACAGCGCCATCTCCCGCCATGTGCAATGACCTTGAGGGGAATTTGCTGACAGATAAAACAATGGTGGCTGCCAGGTGGAAAGAACATTTTGAGACATTGTTGAATGGAGAGAGTGAGGGAGTATCGAGGAACAGAGTAAACATCGCAGACGACGATCAAGCTGTGGAGCCTCCAACGCTAGACGAGGTTAAAAAGGCAATACGTGAGCTGAAAAACAATAAGGCTGCTGGGAAGGACGAGCTCCCGGCCGAACTTTTCAAACACGGAAGTGAGCAGCTGCATCAAGCAATCCACCGTATTCTAACGAAGATATGGGAGGACGAAGAACTGCCTGCTAGCTGGTTGGATGGCCTCATTTGCCCATTATTCAAAAAAGGGCACAGACTCGAGTGCGCCAATTATCGAGGAATAACTCTTCTGAATTCGGCGTACAAAATACTGTCACGCGTTCTGTTTAACAGATTGAGACCGCTTGAGGAGTCCTTCGTCGGTGAATACCAGGCTGGTTTTCGTGAGGGCCGATCAACGACGGATCAAATGTTTACCCTGCGTCAAATCCTTGATAAATTCCGGGAGTACAACTTGCAGACTCACCATCTGTTTATTGATTTCAAAGCAGCATACGATTCAGTGAAGAGAAATGAGCTTTGGCAGATTATGCTAGAACATGGTTTTCCGGCGAAACTAATTAGACTGATTCGCGCAACGCTAGATGGATCAAAATCAAGTGTAAGGGTTGCAGATGAGATTTCGACCTCGTTCGTGACCTTAGATGGATTGAAGCAGGGTGATGCACTTTCAAACTTACTGTTCAACATTGCTCTTGAAGGAGCGATTAGGAGAGCTGGTGTGCAGAGGAACGGTACCATCATCACACGATCGTACATGCTCCTTGCCTTTGCGGACGACATCGATATCATCGGAATTGACCGTAGAGCAGTGGAAGAGGCGTTTGTGCCTTTTAAGAGGGAGACGGCGAGGATTGGGCTCACGATAAGTTCTACCAAAACGAAGTACATGGTAGCCGGTAGACACCGTGGGAGCAATAGTGGTGTTGGTAGTGTAGTTTTGTTAGATGGTGAACAATTTGAGGTAGTGGAAGAATTTGTGTATCTTGGAACACTAGTGACATGCGATAATGATGTTACCCGCGAGGTGAAGAGACGTATTGCAGCTGCAAACAGGGCCTTTTACGGATTACGTAGCCAGCTGAAGTCCCGTAGCCTGCAAACGAAAACGAAATTCGCTCTGTATAAGACGCTGATACTTCCGGTAGCCCTCTACGGCCACGAATCGTGGACGTTAAAAGAGTCTGACCGGAGAGCATTTGGTGTCTTCGAGCGTAAGGTGCTGCGAACAATACTCGGCGGTAAACAGGAGAATGGCATCTGGCGGCGTTGCATGAATCACGAGTTGTACCAAGTGTATAACGGTACGGATATAGTGAAGCTTATAAAACACGGCAGACTACGGTGGGCTGGGCATGTAGTGCGGATGCCGGAAGAACGACAAGCAAATATTATATTCAGCAGAGAACCCGGTAGAGGTCGTCGACTCCGGGGTAGACCTCGGACACGTTGGCTATTTGCAGTTGAGGAGGACATCAGGTCGCTAAACGTTCATGGCGACTGGAAGCGATTGGCGCAGGACCGAGTCCAATGGAGAAGAGTACTTCGTTCGGCGTTGAATCAACCTGGCGATTCGTAGCCCATCAAGTAATCGATTATTCGAATGAAAATCGGCCATAACTAGATGAATGTGAAACGTCATTTCAAATTTAAGGTCGTACATAAATAATGATACAATTTGAAAGGGACCGGGGCTAATCACAAATTACGTCCCCATGGTAACTGAAATAAACACGAGTGCGGACCGGCTGCTCTTACTCTCACTCTGGGTAAACTCTGAGCTTCTTGCGTCGAACAAAAAAGTCATCCCGAGTCTCGAAAAGCGCACCTCACGTCAAATCATCCTCTCGCTGAAGTTCACTCTCCCTCTCTCTCGAGAAGTTTTTGTTTACTTCTTCCATATTCCTTCCGCCACTCACTCGACTTGAGGGCTGGCTAAACTCGCAGGACAAGAGTGTTTTAAAACCTCCAGTTAGTTTGATGAGCTTCAGTAAGCCTGGTATTACCGCTGTCAGTTTGCTCTATAAAGTGTCTGATTGCCCAAAAATGTCAAAATCATGTGAACTATGGTGCATCTATATGTGGTTGACAGGGAATAAAGTCCCCCTGCTGGAGTTGGCTGGGTTCGATTCCCGGGAATGTTTCGGGTTGGAAAATTTCTCGACTTCCCTGCTCTCACCTAATACCTGTGGAAGTGCATCTAGAACACTAAGTTGAGAGATCACAATAAGCTAATATGAAGAAGAAGACGAACGTATTGGCGGTGGTTCAAAGAAAGGAACACCAACTTCATGTAAACGCTGATCCAGGAAGTGTTTATCTTACGATTGAAAAATCAATATCGATTTTTTCTTCGAAGAACTTCTTGTCTAATTGTATTTATAAAAGATGGAGCATCTCCTCTGATGAATATGTCTATATCGTTATTAGAAATATAATCTAAAAGGTACTCACCTTAACAACTTCACCTTCTACGTAATAATCATCTAAGTATCCTTGCACCCGGGATAACATTCCCTCCATTACTTTCTGGAAGATTTTTGGTGGCAGCAACTAACCTGAACGATAGCATTTTAAATCGGACAACTTCAGTACTTTCGGATTTCAAAAATTTCAACGTCAATAAATTATGTTACATTTTTCATTATTGTATTCTTACATTGTAAGTAGTTTTGGTGATAACATCTAATTACTCCTTCGATCATAGATTCTACTGACTATATTTCACTTTTATACGTAGCCACAATATTTACAAGTTGTACTTTTCCTCTATGTAATAAATATAACTTTACAATAACACGTGTTTAGAAACTTCATCTGAGCTAAACTCGTAAAAATCAACTGACATCTAGAAAGCTAAACTTAAATTCCAATTGCCTCTGTACAGATGTTAGTTCATAGCGCACCGCATCTTATCATAATCCTTATGACATACAAAATTCATCCTGAAGATCATTCTGATAAATGCCGTGTATTTCCCAGCGGTTGACCGTCCATCGCTCACCGCACGCCATCAATCTGGCCTCGTTCGTGGGCTCAAATCGTTTGGTCGTCGTAGCCGTAGATAAGGCTGATATTGTCCGGCAGCGGATCCATTAGTTCGACTATTGGATCCGCTGGCTTTTGTCAATCGAGCACATCCTTCAGCTTGACGTACAAACAGCAGGACAGTATCATGCCGAACACCTGAATCACGCAAATCCCCAGCCCGATGGCACCCAGCAGAATGAGGTTATGCTTCAGCTCGTCTGCCATCTTGTAGATGCAACCCTGCACGAGATGGGAGTGAGAGATGGATTGAGTTAGAAATTTTCGCCAAATTGACTGGTTTGATAAATTTGAGTGCATTTTCTCCGCACTCCTCTCGTACCGTGTAGGGAATGTTGCTTGGACCGTCACTGAGGCCGCACTTTGGTGTCATGCTGAGGCAGCACGAATCCGGCACCCGGCGGCCTTCGGTCGGTCGGATCAGGTCCTTCCGGCGAGACCGCAGCCACACGCTGTAGCGCCAATCCTCGAACCGGACGGCACCGCAGCAGCTGAACTGGAAGGCAACAGAATGGAAGTTTAATGTGATGAATGTTTCTGTTTTTTTATGGTTTTAGAAGCCATAGGTGTGTAGGAAGGAAGGTACCTCTTGCTGCATCCTGTCGATGGCTTCGGTATGCCGCTCGCTGACACCGTACTGTTCCATGAAGGTGCTGTTGAGGCTGTGCTGCAGCTCTAGTTCGATCTGCGTTTCGTACAGGTATGCGAGGCCACCGACGATGGCCTCCAGCAGGAAGACGAATAGCAGTATGAAGGTGTACTAGAATAAAGAAAATGGATTTCAATTTAGAGTGATTGGTTCGCGGAGGTAAGCGATGGTGTAACGCCGAAATGTATGCAACGCTGGCGTGGTGAGGTGGGTTGAATTAAATCAACAACTCTCCCTAACTCGATATACTCGAAGGGACTATCGAGTTAGGGAGGTGAATTTTGGATAATTGTTTGGGAAAAGTGGTCAAAGTAGCGGATATGCATCGAGTAAGGGAGAGTTGACTGTACTTGACCAGCACATCGCCTGTGTGGGAATGGTCTAACTTATGGAGGCTGATGAGATTATACTTTTTGCTTTCATTTTTTTAGAATCCCAAACAATCGAACATAACAAAAAATTTGTTTAATAAAACATACAAAATTGAGTTTGTATTGTAAATTCGCATAGTCAAAACTACAGGTTATTGTGCGTGAATCGCTGGAGGAGGAATTGTTTTAAAAATAAATGGGAGAAAAAAAGGATGGGGAATGCGCTGCCGGATATATTGATTTGGTGAGTACGTTTAAAGTCTCTGACAAGAAGAGTTGCGACCAGATGGAAACGTTAACTGTCCAATTGATGTTGACGGAATAATTAATATTTTTATTTTTTTTTATCTCGATACTGTCATGGACTTCAATTCATAGTTATTTTTGAGAACCAGAGTGACCAGAGATTTACGTGAGCTATAATCTATCCTACTCACGCCCTTCTAAATCACATTATTCAATATTGACATCGTTCTGATATTGTCTGACTTCCATTGAATGCGGTTTCAAGCATTTTAATTGAAACTTAAATTCTTAAGAAAAGTTATATCTCCCCATGGGTGGATAATTTAGATTTTTCATTACTAAATTGATGCTTTCACAAGTAGAAAACAGATGTTATGCAGGTGGAAAAAAATAGACAATCCTCATACAAGAAAATGGATGTTTTAGACTCCAACCTTATCATGAATGATGGTTTTTCAATCCGCGCCGGGAGCTACGCATATTTCAATGTCCCCTCTGATGGGGCTTCTTCTCCCGTCGGATCATATTTCAAGCGAACGACAGTAACCGTTAATAGGCGTGTTTCTGGAAACGGAATCCTTGGATCACGCTCCGCTATCATCGGCATTCGCAGCAGTATAGTGCTAAGAAACTGTGCTCGTCCGGCGCTGGAGCAACAGCTAGTATAGTAATTAATCGATTATAAACTTGTCGCCGGGCTACTTAATAGAGCATTTATCAAAATGATTAATTACACGGTGGCGTTTTGTGTGTTTGTTTAGATTCATCGAGCGGAACCTTGATGGCAGAACAAACCGAAGCCTGCAGTCAGTATTGCGTGACTTGGCTGCGTTCGTTGAAGTTGATAGGCGGTGGCGGCCGGAGCGCTTGATAAATCAAGACCGAGTGAGTTGAAGAAAAGTTGGCGCCATTCACCGAGACCTGCTGCTGCCCTTAAAGGACCATCCATCATCTCCAACAATGTAATTAAATATGGGAGAATATGCGGTGTTGTTCGACACGTCAAATGGACCGATGACATATTGCGATCTGGCAGTTGATGCACAAGGAAGTGTGTATTTATCTACTGAAGATTGCATCTTCATCGGAGCAACCTAATTTCCCCGCAAAATTCCATTACAATTACCCCGTAATTGCTTAATCACGCCAATGCCACCGTAGTGGAACAGTTCACCAAAGGCCATTATAGGTATACCTCCAGGGGCAGCTACATATCCCTTTGGCTCGTAACGAACCACTTTGGTTTGCGTTGGCGTTGGTGGTGGTGTGACAACTTAATCGTTCCCGTGTCACGAGCAGAGCTTCTCACCTTTTCAAACCACAAGGCTCTCTCGGCAGCAGCAGCAAGGATCCATCCACTTCCACTGCACTGGCCGTTGTTGAAAAGCTGCTGAGCAGGGTCGTTCGTACATACAAACGTTCCGAGCACCGAATTCCACGTTCGCATGTCGCGCCAAGTAAACTGTCTTTGGAATTTTTGGCTTACCCCGCAGCAACAAGGGGATACCGGACGAACGGACGAACGGTCCGGAGCTGATTGCGATAATAACTATCCTTTGATGATGGCTTGTCGAGTGTTCTGCTGTGACCGGCTTGGTAGAGCGCCTCCGGTAAATGAAGATTGAAATGTGGCCGGTCGGTTAGGCGGGTCGTGCGAAGTGCTGGCACAACATTACTTCTCCCAGGATCCCAGGAGATGCTTGCCGTTCTCAAGTTCCGCGTTGATGATGTGGTCATTTTGAAATAATTTAATTTAGACCTATACCGCCGGTATCAAGAGGGCTCTTGGTGCTCGGGGGTACTCATTCATAGTTACCTTCCTCTCGGAAAGTAATGAGAAAACATACCCCGTAGATTGGAGCCCTGCCTGGTTCACCCGCTTCACGTGTCCAAATGTAGGTTAAAGGCATTTTCGCACGTCATGCCGTGGGGGTGAAAAGGGGTTCTACAACGCACCGACATAACCACATTGTTCTCGATGTGCTCTGTGTAGTTAATGTAATCAGCCAAACGGACGTGAACCCGGCCACCAGTCAGTCAGTCAGTCAGTCTGACTGGTCGAGAGGTGTGAGCGAAACATGAACATTATTAGATGACATAAATCATCGTTAATAACATGAACCATTCAAGAGAGGCAGAATGGATGCTCTTTGCTTTCTATCTTCAGTATCTACTGTACCGCGAGAATGAATTATGGGTGCGAATTACATATGCTGTGGGAGAGAGCGAGCAAGGTGGAAGGTAATTGGATACACGTTAAACATGTGCGATATGTCCGGGTATGATGCTGACATTTGATTTTCAGGCAGTTGTTTTTTGGATAATGATGATTGGTTGCTAGCTATTTGGTGGATCCAACTCTCTGACAAAAACGAAGGGTGGGACCAGAAAATTTTAAACCTTTGCTCAAGTTAATCATTACTCAACAAAATTTGCCTTATTAATAAATTCAAGCTGAACATTGCATTAGGTCCTAAGTAACATTGATAGATTCTCTTCATCGACTTTCACTTTCGTTAATAACTTGGGTATAGAACCGTTTCTTGTCATGTTTGTCGTTTTAGAAGATAGATAATAGCTTCTTTCATTAGACTGGCCCATATTTATATGGGGCCTAGATTTGTGTCATTAGGTGAGAAAACCACTCTCTGAAAATTTCATCTCATTCGGATTTAACACGAGCTGGCGCTTTTGATTTAAAATTTATATGGGGATATTGGTTGAAATGTATGGAGAAATAATATTCCTTCACTCTTTCGTGCATAGAACTGGTTCAGCAAACTCGATTAAGCTCAAAATTTCAACACACGTTGCTTAAACTATAAGGAACAACTTTGCTGAAAACAGCATCACGATTCAAGTTGGTATTATTTTTATTTTTTTAACGATCCTGCGCACCTCCAGGGGTGCAAAGGGCCTTTGTGAAAGATTTCCATCCTGGGCGATTTCTAGCTTTGGCCTTGACCTGTGCCCAAGTCAAATTTCGGTCAACGTTCTTAATTTCACTGTTTAGGCTCCGCCGCCACGAGCCTTTGGGTCTGCCTCTGCTGCCTCTGCTGCGGCCGACCCACCTCCACTTCCGTTCACGAATTTCTGTCTCTATCGGCTTCTGATGGCACAAACGATGAAGCTCGGAATTTGAGATCCAATTGTGGGGGCCACCAGGCACGAATTATGTACCGCAGGCATCGGTTGATAAACACCTGCAGCTTCTGAGTGTTCTCCGCTGATACGCACCAGGCGAAGCAGCCCTCGCCTTCTTAATCCGTGCACCTATGTCGCTCTTGGTGCCGCCGTCCGATGCTATCTGGCTGCCACGATATTGAAAGCTTTCGACTTTCTCCACTGTCTGCCCTGCTACCGTGAAATTGGAACGGTTTTCCGTGTTGAGATCCAACGATTTGGTCTTCGTCTTGATGGTCAAACCTGCTTCAGAGGAGCGTTCCACAAGGTCGTCGAGCTTACTCTGCATGTCAGAGCGCCGTTGTGCTAATAACGCAACATCATCAGCCAGATCGAAGTCGTTGAGATGCTCCATGGTAATAGGATACCACAGCAACCCACGGTTCGGTACACGGTCAACGGCTCCAACCATGATCTCGTCGATTACGATGAGGAATAGTAGCGGTGATAATATACATCCTTGCCTCACACCCGCGATTACCCGAATCGGGTCAGACAAAGCTCCGTTGTGCAACACTCTGCATGAGAAAGCCTCGTACTGCGCTTCGATGAGGATGACGATCTTATCAGGGACTTCCTTGCGTCTCAGAGCGCCCCACAAGTTTTCGTGGTTTAGTCGGTCGAAAGCTTTTTCGTAGTCAATGAATACCAAGTACAGGGACTCTTGGAACTCAATGACCTGCTCCAAGATGATGCGGAGCGTGACACAGGATCTTCCAGCACGGAATCCTGCCTGCTGTCGTCGGAGAGTCGCGTCGATCTTCTCCTGAATCCGATTGAGGATAACTTTACACAGAACTTTGAGAATAATAAACAGTAACATGATGCCTCACCAGTTGTCGCATACAGTTGGACTTTTACTAAGACGCCCTGCATCCAGTCGGCCGGAAAAGTCGCGGTGTCCCAAATATTGCAACATTTGTGAGGATAGCATGGGGTCAGCTTTGAGCATCTCTGCTGATATGCGATCGACTCCCGGGGCTTTTTTGGACTTCATACTTCGGATGGCTGCTTCTAACTCCTGCAATGATGGAGTTTCAGTGTTGACGCGAGTAACGCGCCTCACCCTTGGCGGATCATGCCGAGATGTTGATGGTTGGTTGACCGTTGAAACTTCGAGAAGTTGTTCAAAGTGCTTATCTTGACGAAGTTATCTCTAATGGATTATTTTATATGGATAGCTGTCATAACGACTTTTTTAATAATTATTGTAGCATTGCAAAAACTATTTCTGTTCGCCACGATGGTGATGATGGATTTTTAATATTTGATTTAATAGTAGATTAATTAAAAAAAAGTAGTCTACAAAGG